ATAAATTAGTATTTTTGGTATTTTTTTTTGTTAATATAGATTCATTTTTTAATAGAGTTGTTTTTCAATTATTTATAGTAGTTATTAGTTGTGTTTTATCAGTGCAAGAATAAATAGCGGTCTGCATATTTGATAAAATATCTGTATTGTTATTTTCTAGATAAAAATTTTTTTAAATTCAATAACATTGTTATTTTTAAATCTTATTTAACATTAAAATAATAATTTGTAATCTGGGATTGTGCTTAAAATCTTATCAGTATGCGGTTTTGTAATATCAGCCCAAAACTGAAGAATCGAGTAGTCACCATTTTCTATTTGTTTCTATAAATTCATTATAAATATTAGTAATATGGTAACGAAGATTTAATTAAAGTACTTCGCCAAAACTTCTTATATATATTGCAATCAGCAAATTTTTTAATATAATTTATTGAAATAATGATATAATAAAGAAAATATAAAGCATACTATCTGTAAAAATTAATTAAAAAGTATTGGATGATATATTGCAAATATCAAATTCTTAGAACACAAAACAATCAGTTTTTGTAGAAAATTATTACAAAAATCTAATTAAAAATATACAAGATATTAGATGATATATTTCAAACAACTAAATCTTGGTCATCTAGCAAACTGGCTTTAACATTAAGTTATGCAGTAGACATTTTATTGTGAAATTACGAAAGTTTATAAAGCTGAATTGCAAATAACTAGCTTATGCAAAAAATCATAAATATTATACTATTTTTAACATAAAAGTTAGACTTAAATGACCATACCTGAAATAGTTCTAAAGCCTCTTTTAGTTATTCATTCTTAACCTTTTTTTCCACATTGTTTTTAAATTATCATCTGAAAAATTTAAAAGGTCACTTACATATATTTTTATTTCAACTTGAATAATTGACATATATACCTGACATTGTTTCTTTTAGCTTATTAATATAAAGCTGATGCATTAAAAGTTTGTCTTTGTATACTAATTTCCTTCCTTTATTGGCAATTTTAAACTTGCAAAAGTTCAAAAAGTTAATTAAAAAAATTTTACCAAGCATCTTTACTTTAAGGTTAGAAAAATCATCTATCAACTTTCAAACTTCATCTTTACTTAGCATTTTATATATACTATGATAAAAAAGAACAAAGAACTGAGTAGATATAAATTTTTTTTATCAGTATCAGTATTAAATCAAAACAAAAAAATGCAAGATGCAGATTTGACAAATTTTATTTGGTGATCGTCATGTGATAATTTGACCAATAAACTTATCTGACTAATAAACTCACTTTTTTATTCTTGTATTTGAAAGCTTATCATCTCATTAAAAAATATTATACACTTTACTACAAAAGGTCTTTACCAAATGATTCTATTTTATTTAGAATGTAAATGTTTAGTTTTGAATGCAAAAATTTTTACTCATCATTACAAAATACTGTACAACATGGCTTTTTTTTTGGATGTTATTTCTTTTTCAATTCTTCGTGTAATATTGCAAAAGGCTTCATTCAATGATTAATTTTTTTGTAAATTAACTTGTTCAAATAAGGAGATAATTGATGCATAATTGGCCTATCTTCACCGTGGTTATTCGTATTATCTGCAAACTATCAAAATAAAACTCTGAAGTCTGTACTGTTATCTATAGAGCAAATATGTATAAATTTTTAATATATTAAAACTTTAATAATGCTGATCTGATATTATACTTATTTAGGGTGCTGCTAGTCAATAAAAATAGGAAAAATTGTTCAAAAACTTTAGATAAAAAATTAGCGAGAGCAATGATTTCTGATATTACAGTTACCAACTTGAAATATAATATTGAATTTTTAATCACAAACTTCAATAGGTTGATGACAAAAAGAAAGAATTAAATAACGTTTTTGAGTCTTGCACGCTTTTACATGATATGTTGCGCAAAATCCATAATGAAATAACCTTTCATGATACACAATCAGTAAAAGTTCAAAGTGTTTGTGATAATAATTTCTAATAAAATTTGATAAATTTTATTTTATTTATTTTTGGATATTTTTAACTTGTATCAATGGTTATCCCTTAGATTGTAGTAGAATACAGACAAATTTGCCTGCATTTTTACACTTTTTTAGCTCTGATTTACTTTTTTAAAATGCTAAAATAATTAAATAAAACTTT